TTCTGTCTCTTCCCAGCCACCGCCTCCCATTTCCCTCCCTCTCCCCCAATCAAGTCCCCCTCCCTCGTCAGCCCAAAGATCAATCAGGGTCCCTGCCCTGTGGGAAGTTCAAGGACCACCCACCTCCATCCAAGTCTAGTAAGGTGAGCATCCAAACTGCCTAGGCTCCCACAAAGCCAGTATGTGGCACTGGGTTTTGATCCTACTGCACGTACTGGCTTTGTGGGAGCCTAGGCTGGTTGGATGTTCAACTCACTAGACATGGAAGGAGGTGGGAGGTCCTTGGGCTCCCACAGGGCAGGGAATCCTGACTGCTCTTCGGGCTGATGGGGGGGGGAGTTGATTAGGAGGGGGGAGGGAAATGGGAGGCGGTGACAGGGAGGAGACAGAAATCTTTAATAAATAAATAAATAATAAATAAATAAATAGCTTAAAGTTAGACAAAGATGTTTTTATTAAGTAGCTTTGAAGTGAAAAAAAATCCAAAAACAATCTAAAGTCTTAGAAAGGCAGAGAGTTGAGTGAGGAACTTATTAAGGTCAGGGGGAAAGAACAACAAAAAAAAGCACAATTATTATAGCTGATTGGCCTTACTTACTCAGATGAGTTGGTGACTAATGGTGATGATCAATTCCTTGTACCCATTTTCACCCTCACTTCCTGATGTAAACATCTGTTGATGAGTGGGTATGACCCTGAGGATTTAAATAGAGCTGACTGGTTCTTTTTCATTTAAATATGTTAGATTTGTGATTCTGTTTTTAAGATTTATTTTTAAAGATATATATATCTTTATATAAGATTTTATATATATACAGTGTTCTGGCATGGAGGGCACCAAATCTCATTATAGATGGTTGTGAGTCATCATGTGTTTGCTGGGAAATGAACTCAGAAACTCTGGAAGAGCAACCAGTGCTCTTAACCTCTGCGTCATCTCTCCAGCTCTTTTAAGATTTCTTACACAATTATCTTTTGAGATAAAGCATAAAATGATTAGTCCTTTCTTTGTGATGCAAAATGCAGTGCCAGCCAAAGAACTGACTGAGAAAAAAGAGTTTTCTTGCTTGCTTACACCCTGTTAATCTGTGACAAGTCTAATGACACAGGCTCTGTCTTATCTCTTAGAATTTGCATTTTTATTTATCCAAGACCTTTCTCCCTAAGTCCTGAGCATCGCTTTTAAACCATAAAACCCTCTCTTAAAAGTGAGGACTTTTGTACTTTACAAAAGCCTAAGCAACTTCTGTGTTATCTTAGAGCCAGGCTATCTGGATACCCACAGGCATTATATTTACCTCAGCCAAACTCTCTAGACCCTAAATCTTGAGCTCTGTCTCTGAGTCAACAGTACCCATCCTTGTAAAGGAAGCCAGATGTACTTTGTAAAGAATCTCAATGTAAACATGTCTTAAATTTTTGTTCACTTGAGATTGAGTTAATTGTTATCTGGATACTTTTTTCAAAATGTTGTTGTAACTAAAGCAAAATGATCTGGGCCAGACTCTACAAGCCCTGGTCCAACACTGCTTGCAATAAAATCAGGCTAAGCCAGAGTTTCATTCTTGTCACTTTATGGTTCAGTTTTGCCCTGCCTGCTGTAAAGCCTAAATGGGAATCAACACAGAGAGTGCTTAGACAGTTCCTCCTGGCAGAAATAGCATGCATTGTATCTATTTATTTCAGAAAGAGTAAACTGATGAGAGCTTACATATTCAGGACTGATAAGAAGTAGTTGATGAATCACCCAGGCAGGCTGCACTGAGATTATTGGTACTTATTAGTAGCAACATCAGACAGAGTACAAGGTTCTTTCTCCCTCTCCACAGTTTCAAGTTTCAAACTTCCTCCTGAATTCAGTTTAGTCCCTTCCTCTCAGGTCATAGAAGAGTGCTTCAGATGTTGAAGGAACTACAATGGACAATCTAAAGTCAGACTTTACTACCTCACACTGCTTACAAGTGGTAGAAATAGGTATGTATTTTAATGCAATTTGATTCAAACTAAAAGATAGAGAGGAGATTTGCCCAGGACTCTTAGTGGAGCTGAATCTCCTACCTATTAGCCTGTCACAGTGGGTCTCTGTAGAAGTGGACATTCTTGAAGGTTCTGTTATATGAGCTACTCTATTGGAGTATGTAATACTCAAGTATTTCTGAGCAATAAACAATAAATTAATTACAGAAAACTGAGTCATGGTTTTTGTTTGGTTGATTGATTGGTTGGCTGGTTGGTTGGATTTCATTTTTTTTTTTTTTGCTTAGTTTGTTTTAGGTGTGTGTGTCCTAATTTAGGGACTTCTAGGGACAAACTGAGAAACATTTAACCTAGATATAAGGCACAAGATACGGGCAGGTACAAGCATGAGCTACAGCTTTCCTTTTCATTTTCCTCAGTTCTGAGAAATATTGTTTTACTTGTTACCAGCTCAGGGATATTTGGGTTGCTGTAAAATACAAGTATTAATTCATAAAGCTGCTGTAAACACAGGCAAGTTTTATATGTAAACACAGGCATTTCCCTTAGATCCAGGGTATGAGGTAAATGCAGTTTCATTGTAACAAATGCTAAGCTGTATTTCAACTACTTTTCCCAAATTTTGACAATATTAAGCAAATTTAATGCATATGTGTGTGTGTGTGATTATATTCCACATTTTGGCTCATTTTTCTTTTTAAAAACCATTCTGTTTATACTATGTGTGCATGTGTACTGAAGATGGGGAAGGTGGAAAATTCTTAGGTAGAGAAAGGATGAAAACTCTTCTGCATATGATGCTTGGACACTGGGTTTTTTTTAGTATGATTCACAACTCATCCTCTGTATTATAACCAATTTAAAATAGACTACAGAACCAGACATGAAGCCTAGAACTTAAGTCTATATTGATAAAAAAAAATATCTTGGTGTTTGAGAGCTTGACTCAGGTAAAGATTTTCTTGGTTACAATACTGAAAGGTTTACCTACACGCCATAAAAATGAGCTGGATTTAGTGCAATGAACATTCTGTTCTTTCTCCTAAAAAGGAATAAAACTCCTCCCCCCTCTGTGTGTGTGTGTGTGTGTGTGTGTGTGTGTGTGTGTGTGTGTCTAGCTCTCCATCTCTGGCTGTCTCTGTGTCTCTCTCGAAATTAATTGTATCTACATTGTACTGAGAATTTTAAAAACCTCAATGTTGCATTGGATGTATAATTATGTGGTGGCAGTGCTGTGAATATTGGTATCCTTGTACAATTGTTTGCTTTTGACAACTGCTACTGTACGATAATGAAAATTACTTTCAGCATTGACATATTTTCCTGCAACATTGTAAACGTGTTCATTACTTTTAGAGCCCTTTTAATAGACTTCTTAGAAATTCATATGAAAATATATTCATGCCATCTGAGTATCAACACTTTTATCTCTATCATACTTGAAAGTTATTTTTATTTTTGCCCTGTTGTCTTGGCTAGGCCTTCCAGAGTCACACTAGAGTGGTAAGCAGACATCCTTGTCTTTTAGGAGTCACCTTTACCTTCCTTTGCAGGTTCATGAGACTGGTATTCTGATATTTATATTTTCAGGTGAAAAACTCCAAGGAAAATGTCTCAGAAATGTCTGCCCTGCTAGACTTTCCTGCTACTGTGTAATAATCTTCTTCTTTACTGTAGCTACAATTGCAGTTTGTGCTACTTTGCTGTTGAGAGGTAAAGGACTTATAAGATGACAACCTCTAGACAAAGACGTCTATCCACCTGGGGGAACTATCAACATAGATAAAAAGAAGAGGAAAACTTTAAAAGAGACTCTCAAGATGACTGCTATAGTTAAAGGAAGTGAGAACAAAGAAAGGTAATATGATTGGGGAAGGAACATGAATTCCACCCCAATGACCCATAGTTTCAGTTAATATCTTCAATCATGGTCTGAAAATATTAAACAGAAAGTAACAGAACATGTAATTTCTAAGTTTTAGTTTAGGACTATTGTGAATGATGTGATAAAATCTTGTACAACTTGGCTGCTAGTACATCTATATATTTATAGTCCTCACTGTCTTGAAACTCGCTAGACCAGGCTGACCTTGAACTTGGAGGCCTGTCTGCCTCTTTCTCTCAATGCTGGGCTTAAATGTATGCACCACGCAATATTGTTTTATGAAATAATTTTAGCCATATCAAAAAGCTCTAGACAAGTGAAGTCTACTTAGTGAGTTCCAGGCCATTTAGGGGGACATAGTGACATTCTGTCTGAAACATTAAATACAAAGAAGGGGGGGAAAAAGCACTTCCTCATACCCCCACCAGAAGGCTTTGGATTGAGGACCATTATGCTAGGAAGAAGTCCCCTAGTGACCAATTATTAAAGTACAGTCCAAGCACACACCTCACTGCTAAGATCTGAATAGCCAGCCAAAGGGATGGGACACAAAAATGTTTATTATATTTCATGACACTGTCTGCATTTTAGTGAGATCTGGCATTGAGTACCATAGACCTTGCTATGCCACCTGCCCAAGAGAATGGATTGGATTTGGAAGCAAATGTTTTTATTTTTCTGAAGACATAAGAAACTGGACATCCAGTCAGACCTCTTGCATGGCATTAGAGGCCCATCTAGCTAAATTTGAGAGCCTGGAGGAGCTGGTAAGAAAGAATCAGGAATCAGCTTCTTGTTTGTGGTCAGCAATGTATTTTGGATTATGTATGTAAAAACGCATCCACTGAGAACTGAGGGATATTATGGCTCCAAAATCAATGACCCTCAGCTGCCATTCTTAGATGAGGCTGTATGTTAGAAACACCCAATGGTCATTGGAAGCTGAAAGATAAATGTATTTTTTGTGTGTTTTATAACAGAATTTCATGAAGAGATACAAGGGGCCTTCTGATCACTGGATTGGCCTGCACAGAAAGTCAGCACATCACCCTTGGAAGTGGACAGACAACACTGAGTATAACAGCTCGTATGTTTTCAGACCTCTTTTCCTTCTACTGTGATCACTTTTGTGAAGTGTGTGTGTGTGTGTGTGTGTGTGTTTATAAGAGATAAATGGCTGTGTCATTTGAAATCAATTGTGCTGGGAAGGAAGGAACATAAATTTTCCAAGTGGAGGTGTGTCTGAGAGGTAGGCTGTGTGCTTACATGCAGAGTCAATCCCTAGTAAACTCCACATCCTTACAAATTTAATTTTTTTAGATGTTCTCCCACTTATTGGCTACCATTCTCAAAGCATTTAATTAGCGTGATTTCACTTGAAATCTTTAGCATGGTGATGACTCTGGAGTAGATATCGTCTGCTCCATCGTCATTCAAAAACTTTTCCTCAATGAGAAACACCTGTGTGGGTTGTCTACAAAATTTCAGATGAGCAATGAGAATTCTGAAACTCCAGGAAGCTACTGTAGAACTGGGGTAGGACTTGTCAGTCAAACTGTTTCAACAGCTGCACCTGTCACAGAAGTAGAGACACCAGGGGCATTGGGAAACTTCTCAAAAGTCTCATCATCAAAAAGCACAGAAACAGCTCTTGGAAGCAAGAATAGCCGTTTTGAAAGGAGCCATTCACTGGAACAATAAAACATAGATCCAGTCACATGATCACTAAAGACCTTTTAGTAGTTTAATAAGAAGTGGATTTTCTCCCACTTTAAAACATGCATAAGCCGGGCAGTGGTGGCGCACGCCTTTAATCCCAGCACTAGGGAGGCAGAGGCAGGCAGATCTCTGTGAGTTCGAGACCAGCCTGGTCTACAGAGCTAGTTCCAGGACAGGCTNAACCAAAAAAAAAAAAAAAAAAAAAAAAAAATGCGTAAAGGGGGCTGGAAAGATGGCTCAGAAGTTAAGAGCATTGCCTGCTCTTCCAAAGGTCCTGACTTCAATTCCCAGCAACCACATGGTGGCTCACAACCATCTGTAATGGGATTTGGTGCCCTCTTCTGGCCAGCAGGCATACACACAGACAGAATATTGTATACATAATGAATAAATAAATATTTTAAAAAATGTGTAAAATGCTTCAAGATACAGTCGAAAATCACCCTCAGTGAAGCCACCCGTGGCAGCAGTCCATTTGAACATGACATCAAGCGCCAGTTAAATGCTTTGTACACATATTACAGGGACAGTGTTGGCAAAATACAAGATATAGTGTTCAAATTGAGACATGAGTATGTAAAAGATGGTAGGTGAAAAACTAGTTCAGGTGTTTGAATGCAATGTTGGCCTGCGCATAATTTTGTTGTTTTGCCTTTTTGCTTTAGGGTTCTCACCCGAGGAGAAGGGGAATGTGCCTACCTGAGTGACAGTGGGATCAGCAGTGCTAGGGACTACACTCCTAAAAAGTGGATTTGTAGCAAATCCAACAGATATACCTAACCGTAACCAAAATATTTCAAATCCAGAGCAGGGAATGTGCCAAAGCCTGACTGAGAAACAGATGCTCTATGACTTGTTATCTGCAATTTCTGTTCCACTCCTGATCGGCTAAAATCATCAAAATCCATCAATAATATGTGTTGACAGCAAAGACAAAAACTTGCTGAGAGGATTATAGATCCAGGAAAAACACAGAAGATTCTAGATGTTTCAATATGAGTTAGTACTCAAATATTAAACTGAAAGTACAGTCATGTCTGTATTAGTAAGTTTCACTTTTATGACCAGATCTGAATTTTTTTATTGGTTCTTGCTTTAAAGGTTTGGAAACTAAAAATGCGAGGTTCTGAATCCATGGAAAAGATTCAATAATCACGAGAAATATGAAAATTCGTCTGGAGCCTCAAAATATTTTTGTAAACATTGTCATCATTCTTTTACAAAATTCAATGACAAATATGAAGGGCGATCTAAACAGGATTGAACTCGATGCTGTATACTCTGTCATTCAACACCATTGTCAAAAAGGTTTTACACTTTACTTCTCAATGTTCTTTTAAAATAGACTAAGGGTAAGTTATAAGCAAATGTCATTTTATTTTCCTAAATTAACTTTTTTCATACATGAGTATGCCACTTGAATTTTATTCTGTATTAGGCTCTTTTCGGATAAGGAGACAGTTAAGTATTGAACCTCCTTCAAAGCAACCATTTACACATTTTTGAGTTTAAGAACAAAGTATTTAAAATGTTTTGTTCATATGCTATACTGTACTGATGGGACCCTGAAAGGATGAAATAACAGGTCACAATCACTTCTATTTACTCTGTTTCTTTACTTTATTGACATATGGAGTAAACATTCTCACTAATGCTAGGCAAGCACTGCACTGTTATTTGCCACATCTCTTTTTGTAAATTTTGTATTAGAACAAGGCTGCTATGCAATACTAATCCCGAGAAGGCTGGAATTGAAGCTATGGATCACCACACAGGACATAGCTTTACTCTTTATTAAAGTATTTAGTCAACCCTGTCTCTAAAAACCAAAAAAAAAAAAAAACAAATAAAGTATTTAGTCAAGTCAAGTGATATGGCTCTGACTGTAAGGCACCAGCCACTAAGACTGATCACCTGAGTTTAACACCTGGACCAACATGCTGGAAGCAGAAAACTGTCCACAGCAAGTTGTCCTGTAACTTTTGCTGTATGTATATGCACACACAAATAAATAATAAAATTAAATAAAAATAAAGTTTGTAGATTGCTTATTTTGAGTCTATATTTTATTATTTTTTTAATTCCTTTCATTTTTGTGTTTCAAGACAGAATTTCTCTGTGTAGCCTTGATTTATCCTGAAAGTTCTTTGCAGATCATTTGGCTTGGAACTCAAAAATTTACTTGCCTCTGCCTCCCACATTCTGAGTTTATAGGCATGTATCACCTGGAGCTATGTCATTCAGACCAGGGCCATGTCTGACTATGTGGCCCTCCAGCAGTCAGGGTCTGTGTTAATGTCTGAAGTTCCTGATACCATGGAAAGCTATGCTGAAGCCAGGGGTCTGGGCTGCCCACCTCAGATCATTTTGGTGTTGTAGGGCAATGATGCTGTTGGGGCCATGCCAATCTGAGTGGCCTGTGTTGCCACCTGGTATCATGGTCACATTAGAACCCGGGCTGCTGTCTAGGACCATGTCTGTGTCCTTGGTCCTACCACATACATGATCTGTATTAATGTCTGTGGTTCACATTGCCACCAAAGGCCACATGGATGCCCCAGGTCTAGACTGCAAACTGTGGCCATGCGGGTATCTGAGGGCCATGCCACCTCCAGTGCCATGCTGATTTGAGTGCCCTGCACTGTCGCCGGGAACCATGGTGTTACCAGACAAGGGCTAATATCCATAGCCATGTCTGGATCCGTGGCCGAGCAGGGGCCAGAAGCTGGGATATCTATTGCTCCTGTTACCACTGAGGATTCTGCAATGTTCAGTGTCTGCTCAGCTGCATGAGACCATGTTGGTGTCTGAGGGCCAAGCTGCTGACAGGGCCATACTTATCTGTGTGGCCTGTGCTGCCTATGAGGCCATGGAAACATAGAGACCTAAGCTGTTGCCAATGACCATGTCTGGGTCCATGATCTTGCTTTTTCTCGGGTCTGTGTTGATGTTCCTGGCTTGTGTGACCACAGGGGTCAATATGAACCATTCCTGTTAAAATCTGAGGGCTTTGTTGAGCTGGCCCCTTTCTTCACTGGCTCTGAAATATCTGGCCCTGCCCCTCTCTGGAGAGATGGCCCAAGCTCTGGAAAAATGGCTCCACCTCTCACCATGGGCTGCACCTTACCTGGACAACACACAGAAACTGACCCATTTGTTGGAGATGCAGATGAGTTAGCCCTGAGGGTATGAAAGCAAGAGAATTGCTCCTGCCCCTCCCTTTTCTGCCATGTGGTGGCATGGGTGAGAGAAAGATGTCCTTTCCTCCCCTTACCCACTATCACCTGCTGCAGGTGATAGAGCTGACCCTGGAGTCATGAGAGTTAAAGAACTAGTCCTGACCCTCACCAGCTGCAGCATGCAGGGCAGCAGGCTCTGCACCCCACACTATAGATGACTCCATTGTCAAAGGTACAGGTCAGCCAGACCTGAGAGCCTGAGAGCAGGAGAGCTGACCCTATCTCCCCTCATATGACCTCTACATCACTAAGAATAAAGGGCCCTGTACCTCACGTGGGGAAAACAATAGAGCTAGCCCTGGTGTTGTTAGTATGGGTGAGACAACTCTGAAGACCTAAGAGCAGGAGAACTGGCCCAGTTCTAGTTGTTTGCTGTATACTGCATTGGGGGAGCTAGCCTAAGTAGTGCTAGGGTGCTCATCTCAGTAGTAACAATAAGGGAAAGTGGTAGACTGACCAAACCAATTAACTTCTAGATCCAGAACCAGGGTTGTGTGTTAGCCCACCCCAACATCCACCTCATCGATGACTATTGAAGCAGAAAAAGGAGATGAATCTACAGACCCAAAACTTCAGAATCTCCTTGACACAGGACAATAGGATATCCAAAAGGAACCCCAGTGAAAGTCCATTATTGATAGTGTAGCAGAAGCAAGAGGCCTCAAGTCAGACCAATGACTCATAGCATTGAACACTTAAAACTAAAGATGAAAGAGATCAAGATCATGATGGGTTCGCCCACTGAAACTGTTTACCTGAGCTAATTGGAACTCACCACCTCCAGCCAGACTGGGAAGGAACAAGAATAGCACCAGACTAGTCCCTCTGAATGTGGTTGACAGTTGCATGGCTGGGACAGACTGAGGGTCCACTCTCAGTGGCACCAAGATTTATCCCTACTGCATGTACTGGCTTTTTAGGATCCTATTCTCTTTGGATGTATACCTTGCTCAGCCTAGATATAGTAGGGAGGACCCTGAACATTCCACAAAACAATGTGCCTTACCCTCTCTGAGAATTGGAGGGGGTGGGATTGGAGGGTGTGTGGAGGGAATGGGAGGAGGGGAGGAGTGGGAACTTGGATTGTTAATTTTCAAAAATCTAATAAATTGAAAAAAAAAGAAAAAAGAACACAGTTGCCACACCAACCCCAGTAGAACCTGTGTGATAAGATCCACAGACTGAGGCATCAGACTCCAAAGGGAGGAGGTCTCCGGGAACTGGTTGTGGATTCTCTAGCCAGAGAGAAAACACTGAGCCGTAGTTCTCATGGCACTCTGTTTGCTTCTATTTCCTTTCTATATTTACAAGATTTTCCTGATAGTTTGGGCCGAGAAGAAGCTACCCCTTTGAATTGGGGTCACTGGCCAGGACCTCTTATCTAAGAGATTCAGCGCTTTGCTTTATA